TATTTTTTTTTAAAAACCTGACACGTTCCTTACCAGGACATCATTATTGTCATACATACTTATCATTACCCCTAACTGTTTCATATCACACGGACACGAAACTCTTATTTAGTCTCCATGTACTCCTCGACTCGCTCCATGAGATCCGCTTTCTTTCCCGCTGTCGAGCGCCCATGAGCGGTCAGAAAATCCTTGAGAACCGCTACAGTAAGCTGTATCACATATGACCTGTTAATAACCTTCAGGCAGTCGGCATGCAAGCGACTTACCTTCGAAAGACTTCCTTTCTCATAGTGAAGCCGGACCTCGACGTCCACTCCTTCGGGCCCGCTCTCCGATTTGATCCGTTTTGACGGATGACTGGAAGCTTCGTCGCTGTCGGCGGCTCGGTCTTTGGCGCTCCGTTTCACCAATGTGCTCTTTGGGCCATGCGCTGCCGGCGCCGCGTACTGTTTTTCTAATTCATCGGCCCACGACAGGACATACTCTCCAGCACGCTGGGCAGGTTAGCAATGCTTCATCACGGAAAGCGAAGAGATCAAAAGAACAACTAAACGAAATCCAACCTACCTTGTCAATCTGACGGTATTTCGGTATTGTTTTGTCTTCGGGCTTTTCGGGAAGGTCTTCATCTAATGCGAGGGCCTGTAGAATGCGATAATGCCATTGGAGCGCTGCAGGGAACAATCAGCATTACTTGTCAATGAATTAAACTCTCCCAGCTTACATGGATTTGGATATTTCTGCGGTTCGTATGACGCCTTGGGAAGCTGCAGCTGCTGCACGATCGTCCGCATTTGGTCGATCAGGGGCTCTGGCGCTACATTAAGGGTCATTTCGGGATTCTGTCTAACGTCGTCCGCGTATGGTAGAGGTATAATCCACATTCCAGGGGGAAATTTCTGAACGCCGTTTTCGTCGACCTTCTCTTCACCCGCTATCATTGCGCCCAGCACTGGAGCCGCGTTTTTGCGTGGAATGAACCAGACAAGAGCCATCTTGTGATCCTTTAAGAGCTTCTGATGCAAAGCGGAGAATACGCGCGTTGAGCCCACGTAATCCTCCTCAGAAGGGTAGATGAAGAATGGGTGCTTGACGTTGGCCCAGAAAGGGAGAGCGGAGAGTGGCTTGAATCCAATGATACGGATCACTGGGTCACCGAAGTGTCTCAGGGCCTTTTGCTCCTCAGGAGTGAATGACACCTGATCGTTACCAAATTTATATGCTTTCCGTATCTCTGACTTTTCAACGGTGCGAGCAGTATCGTCTGCGATCTGGGTAGTTACTCCTTTGACGATCTGAGGCTTCTCCCCGCCAAGCCAGACATAACAGCTGCGTGCAGGTGCCTGGCGTTTGAACAAGAGATATCCTGTCACGGAGATCTTGAAATTCGGCCCAAGCTCCAGCGGCATGTTCGAAAAATGCGCTCTGCGCGGAACCGACCGGGAATTTATGCTGGACAGGAGGCCGTTCAGCAGCGAGATCCCATCTCCGGAGGCAGTCGATACCTTTGAATCATCTTTTAGGTACACAGGAGCCTCTGCATCAGTTGGTGAGGTTTTGTAGATGATATCCTATACAATGTGAGCCACAAAGTTGCCTGCACTGACAGTCAACGCCGGCTAGTCTTACGTCATAGAACTTGGAGCTGTCGAACTCATGCTCAGGCTGAGATATCGGAAACAGCTCAATGGTCACCCCCAGATCGTAAAGATCTTTCGCGCGAACGGTGGCAGCCGATCGCTGACTCTTACTATCGCCGTGAGGGTTATCATTGTCTGTGACGATGAACAATCGCCGGGATAGAAAGTTGGGAGCTTTGGATGTGAATATCTGATTCGCACAGAAAAGTACATTCGCCATGGAGACCCGCTCTTTCGATGGCACGAGCACATCTCTTGCCTTCCCTTCGTCCTCCGCCAGAGCACGGAGTTCTTTCACCTCTCGTGCTGAAGGGACATCAAGATCCGTAAAAAGGTAGCAGTGAGGATACGATAGATCGCCGCGGCTGTTCTCGTCCTCGTCGTAGAATTTGGACGCCTGCGTCCCGTACAGTAATACGCCAATCATGTCACGAGGATTGGATATGATGCGCTGTTGCATGAGGTGGTATGCACATTTCAAAGCCGCGGTGGTTGGTGATTCTTCCACTCTCTTCTTAGGATCAGACGATGGACGCGGAGTCAACATTGAATCGCTGACTTCGATGGCGAAGAGGACAGCGTCCTTTACTGCTTTGTATCCCTGCGAGAGATATTTTAGTGATGACGTCTTGACAATGGTAGGATTTCGCATACAGTCTCATCGATCTCCTCCTCCTCTTCCACTGCCTCATCATCGCGGTATGGATTGTCATCAGCCATGATGAGAATAGTGAATGGGTTTAGAAGTTACAGCCTAGAAATGAGGAAGGAGAAAAGAGGTACATTGGAAGCAAGAAGATATGGTCGGTATTTACATCACCTCCTTCTCTGCCTTGAGTGCCTACCGCTCTGCTGCCTGCGTGCCCGCCGACTTCACGAGTGACGCGATCCCGTCATATCGGAGCAACGCGGGGGGAACACGAACGTCACGTGAATGCGCCAAGACTTGATGACCCCAAATCATTGCTGATTGGTCAAGCTTCCAGCTGGCGCTGTTCCGTCATCAACCACCTGAGGACCTAGATATGTTCTCCAGTTACAATTCCTTGCCACAATTCTTTCATTGAGTGGTCAAATACTATTCGACGTATTTTTGTGGGCTTTCAGTGTGGCTAATGATAGACAGATAGACGACGGCCGACCTTTTTAATACATTATCATCGCACCTCTCCATGGCTCTCCGCCGGCCATTAACGCTTCCGAGGCACATTCTCAATGGAGCTTGTTTAGGCTTGCGACCAGCTGTGTCTCGCACCGCTCTGACTTATGGGCAGGAGCAGAGGAAAGGGCTTGCAACAGCAGTTCCCCCGGTCACTCAAGATGCGACTGGGTCCAAAGGCCCCACGGCAATGGTCTTCCTCAACATGGGTGGGCCATCAAAGACTGACGAAGTGGAAGATTTTCTGAGCAGATTATTTGTATGCACTCCTCAATATACCCGATACTACCCCTCTGTATGAGACTGACAAGCTCTGTCTTCCTATTTCAGGCCGATGGCGATCTGATTCCTCTCGGACGACTTCAATCATACCTCGGCCCTCTCATCGCTAAGCGCAGAACCCCAAAGATCCAACGGCAATACTCGGATATTGGTGGAGGCTCGCCGATCAGGAAATGGTCCGAGTATCAGTGCGAGGAAATGTGCAAATTGCTAGACAAAATCAATCCCGAAACGGCTCCTCACAAGCCTTACGTCGCGTTCCGGTACGCCGACCCTCTGACGGAAGAAATGTACACAAAGTTGTTGGAAGATGGGTTCGGCAATGGGAAAGGAGGGCGCGCTGTCGCGTTCACACAGTACCCCCAATATTCGTGCTCCACCACGGGTAGCTCGCTAAACGAGTTGTGGAAATGGAGAACCAGGCTTGAGGGTAAGCGTGCAAATGGCGACATGGACCCCGCTGGTGGCATCCAATGGAGTGTCATTGATCGATGGCCAACGCACCCTGGCCTCGTGGAGGCTTTCGCCCGGAACATTGAGGAGCAGCTGAAGACATACCCGGAGGAGAAGCGAAACGGTGTCGTTCTCTTGTTCTCAGCCCACAGTCTGCCTATGAGTGTTGTCAACAGAGGTGAGACCCACCTTCTTACCGAACAACAAGATCTGCTCGCTAACACATTTCCCAGGCGACCCATACCCTGCTGAAGTCGCTGCAACTGTGCATGCTGTCATGCAAAGATTGAATTTCAGCAACCCTTACCGACTGTGCTGGCAGTCCCAGGTGGGACCGTCAGCTTGGCTTGGAGCCCAAACTAGCGATACGGTCGAAAACTATGTCAAACGTGGACAGACCGATATTATTCTAGTCCCCATTGCCTTCACCAGCGATCATATTGAGACTCTGTACGAGTTGGATCTGGAAGTGATTAAGGAAGCAAACTCCCCGGGAGTCAAGAGAGCCGAGAGTTTGAATGGCAACCCCATTTTCATCCAGGCATTAGCAGACATTGCCCAAGAACACCTCCGTAAGGGAGAGAAGTGCTCATTACAGATGACTCTGCGCTGTCAAGGCTGTAAGAGCGAACGGTGCCTGGAGCAGAAGAAATTCTTTGCTGGCGACCGATTTTCTTCCCTTGTAGTTTAGTTTATTTCTGTTATGGCTGTTCTCGGCCGTTGTATACAATATTAGGGTCCATTTTCTTTCCTCGGGGCGTTAAGTTGTGCTGTCAACGAGATGATCTATTCACGGAGCGCACCAAAGCAATGTATATATTGTTGAAAAGTTCGAGCATATCATCTCATTTCGTTGTTGGTCTTCAATGGTTGAGACTCTATATATAAACATTATAGACGAAGGATTTCCCATCAACGTCTCTAGTCAACCTTGACAATTATTTTGTCACCATTTAAAGTTGCACACGTGCAGCGATAAAGCACGATCCAGTCGTAGTGTCGGCGTCCCTTATCGAGAAATTGCCTGACTCCAATGGCTAAAATCTCAACCCCTGATAAGAAGGATTGATTATTGAACAAACTCTCATAGCGTCGCTTCATGATCTACTGGTTGGTCGGAATTGGGCTGACGCAAAGCCCAACGGCGAAGCCGCTCCAGCTCCGTTCCCAGTTCTCGTGAAGAATTGGTAATCATGAGTTCATGACAGCCATGTTGTGTGCGTCCACTTCAGCCCCCAAGCTATCTCCATAATCATCCCGATTCCCTTCATTCCTGGCCATCCCCTCACTTGATCATTACATTATTTCGTCCCAGGGGTGAGCGCCGTCTATGATACATATGATTCCAGATTTATTGTTATCATCGATGCCACCAAGGTTATCGCCAATGTAAATTTCGAACCTCATTCCACTTCGGGACCTAGGAGAGTTTGCAAATTTATTGAATTTCTCTATCGCCAGCGATGGAGAACGAGGAAGCCTTTGAGGCTGATGCACAGCTGCTCACCAGAGCTGTCTCGTCAAATTCTGGTGTTCGAACCATTTCAGGTGATAGTATCAAGGACACAGTCCGATTGCGTGTCCACGAAACAACGCCGTTACTAGCAGGCCATGGAAATGCGGAAGGCTCGGAGCAGAACGCAGCTGGCCAGAGGGCCGGCTGCTGGAGTTTCTTCAGACGACCTCATGTGCGTTGAGACAATGCTCACAATCCAAACCCATTCATCACGTTCTGATCTCTTTCTAGGTCTTTTGGTTGTTTCCGTTTCTGCTTCTCTATATGCTAGGGTTTGCTGGTGTTGTCGTCCCCAAGATCAATCTGATTCTCTCTCTCGTTTGCAGGGACTATCTTTCCAAGAAGGCTTCACAGGATCCTAACTTTACGTATCTGCCGGTCATCATTGGGGAAGACAACCCCCAGTGCCAGGTGCCTGAGGTGCAATCTCTCGTGGCTCAATTCCAACTCTACCTCAATTTGATTGCAGGAATCCTATCCGCATTGGTCAGTCCGCGGCTCGGTCATGTGTCAGACCGTTATGGCAGGACAAAGTTGATCGCTTTGAGCTCGCTGGGAGCTGTGCTTGGTGAAACACTCACAGTCCTTGTAGCAGCCAGGCCAGAGCAATTTTCCATCAACCTGCTCTTAGTAGGAGCTCTACTGGACGGCATTGGAGGCTCATTTACCACGATTTTGGCGCTTGCTACCTCTTATGCTTCTGATTGTACTGCCCCAGAAAAACGTAGCGTGGCGTTTGGATATCTCCACGGCGCTCTCTTCGTTGGATTGGCGTGTGGGCCACTCATTGCAGCGGTCGTCCTGAAGAAGACCGGGGAGATAATACACATTTTCGCTGCTGGCTTGGCTTTCCATGCGCTATTCTTCTTCATGGTTCTGCTCGTCATTCCAGAATCGCTGTCAAAGGAGCAACAGCAAGCTGCGAGAGAGAAACACCGGAGGAGGTTCACTCAAAAGGAAACTGCTGGCTGGTTTTCTCCTTCTTGGTTACAGCATCTGAACCCAAAGAACCTCATCACACCACTCTCCATTTTGTGTCCGCCTGTTGGACGCCCCAGCTCTCTTTTTCCGAACCGCAAGGGCGCAAGCCCTGCCCTGCGAAGAAACATCATACTTCTTGCTGCCATCGATACAGTCGTATTCGCTGTTGCCTTAGGCACGGCCCAGCTTGTGATCATTTATGCTGAATTCATGTTTGGATGGGGAAATGTCGAATCCAGCATCTTCATCTCGATCGTCAGCACTGTGCGCGTGCTCGTTCTTTTCTTGGTGCATCCTATCGTCACACGCATCTTCCACAAGCGTACCGCCGAACAGCGCGCTATCCCCGGGTCCAATAGGGTGGAGCTTGTGGTTATACAGATATCCATCTTTTTCGATTTTCTTGGCTATGTGGGATATACGCTTGTACGAAGCAGTGCGCTCATGACTCTTTCGGGCATTGTCGCCGCTCTAGGAAGCCTAGCTACGCCTACGCTGCAATCATCATTGACGAAACACGTGCCCCGTGAGCGAGTCGGGCAAATACTCGGTGCTAAAGGGCTCTTGCATGCTCTGGCTCGAGTGATCGCGCCTACTTTATGCAATCTCGTCTACAGCCTGACAGTGGGCAAATTTACTCAAACAGTCTTCGTTTCTCTGGCAGCTGTGTTTTTCTTGGCGATCTGCAGTAGCTTCTATATAACACCAAATGGTTCGGCATTATTCCCTTTCACCTAGCAGATACGAAATGCTAACGCTATGCAGTATCCATTGACGAGTCTCGGCCAGGCAGTCCTCTACATGAGGCAAACGAAGACGGAGAATTGGATGAGGACACTCTCTTACGGTCTTAGAATTATATACAAGGCGGGACTAGTGATAGACCCTTTGCTGTAATGTGTACGTTTTTGGTTCGGCGTACGGAGTACCTTTAGTCACAATTGTTTCTGAATACTGAAATCATTTCATAAGTCCACGATGAAGCTCAGAGGAGCTGGTTACGATTATATCTCTACAGGTACAATAAGGGACACTCTAAGAATTTTCGTGTTCGATGTCAATTATACAGATTTGAGGATTGTAGGAAAACAGGAGAATATAGGTAAGCTGATAGTTGTCGTATGATCTTGGCTGGATCCGGAGAGCGATCGGAGGACTACGGCACGCGACAAAGCCTGCAAGTGCACCGCATGCAAACTTTCCGCTGCAGCTCAGGAAAAGTCCACCGAAACTGCCCCGTTGAAGCTCCCACCCCAATTGTGCCCATTGGCGTCCCTCAACTTTTCTTTTGGGCATTGTCCCCATTAGTTGAGCTTTATCTCGGTTTACTGTTCATATCAATGCTTCACAGGTGATACCCATAGAACCCGCCGCCTGCGGTGCAATAGGTTCTACCACCATGCTCTCGAAACCAACCAACAGCCCCCCGGCTGTCCCCTCTCGAAATGCTCTCCGAGTTCTGCGTAGATTGGCGCTTGCCGGCTCAACTGTGGGCAGTTTCTGCACGGTCGCAGCCATCACCTACGATGTCCATCGCCGAGTCCGAGTCGCCGAGCGCATTGTCGAGAATAAACGGGCCCTGCAGTCCTCCGCACCCAACTACGATGCCACGTCTGCCGCGAAACGACTCGCCCGTATGATGGAAGCAGCGGAAGCAGGCGAGTTTATGGGATTGGCGTCGTTGAAGGAGGCGGACAGAAAGATACGAGAAGGGCAAGCTACGCAGGATGACGATGTGGTAGCTTTGCACCAGGAGGGCTTTCGACGTCCGGGCATGGGGTTGGAGGATCCGCGGGGCGCAGTCCAGGCAGAGTCGTATCTGGAGACTGCCCGTTCGCAGCTTGTCGATGCGCTTACATCACGGCCGAATTTTGAGAGTGGCTTGGGTCGAAGGGATTTTGTTCCTCCTAGGCAGGTCCCGGTTGTCGACGCCATGGAGCGGACGAAAAATGCTATAGAATTAAATCATGCCAGCTCGCCGGTGCAACTTTCGGATGCATTACCCGAGGGCGAGGAATCGCAGAGTGTAGGGCAGGTTATTGTCCCGACACGGATGCAGGAACTTCTCGACCGCGGTCGTCCCATTGAGGCGGCCCAAGTTTTTCTGGAGGCACATTCCGCTTCATTGAACGGCATATCTTCTGACAGGAAGGAAATGGCTGCGAAGGTATTCTTCGTCAACTGCAAAGAGGACAATGTGTTTATTGCCAGAAGTGTGTTTGAGCGGTTGGAAGAGGTGGATAAAATCACGCCTGAGATGTGGAAGACGTTGATGCTGGCTTTGGCGAAGAAAGGTTGCATTGAATCAGTTGCGAGTGTTTATACGCGATACATGCGCAAGTTCCCTTGCCCTCCGGAGATGGTGGACGTTGTGCTGCGGAGTTTGCTTGAATCCCACAGACTCACCACTGCGAAATGGTTCCTCTTGCGCAATCTACAACATGACCGTGATTGTGGCTTGTGCGGAGCCTACCTCTCCGGCCTGTGGAGGAAGACAAGAAGCATCGAGTTGTTGAACGGGCAGTTGAAGAAGATCTTGACAATTCTTCCAAAGTTCGAAAAACAACCTAGCGACAAACTGTTTAACCCAGTGATCAAGGCATATGTTGAATTTGGGCGTGTTGCCGATGCCGAAGCTCTGGTTCATGATATGACCACTTTATACGGGCTCCCTCTTCGTTGCCGAACTCAGGGCCTATTGGTATACGCCAAGGCTCTGAACTGTGACTGGGAGGGAGTTGACGCAGGACTACAAGAGATGCACAAACTCAAGCTGACGAGACGCCGGCGAGACTTCGTTCCAATTTTTGATCGAATATTTCTGGAGTACTGGGTCTCACATTCGGGGATTGAGATTCGCAATTTTGTGTTCCGGTACCTCGATAAATTTGACATTGTCCCCGATCGCGTGCTCTACAAGCACATCCTGGAGGCCTTTGTGGAGAAAGGAGACAAGGAAATGATTGCTGAATTTACAAGTATGGCGAAGCAGCGATCGTGGAACATCCCCATAAACGAGCAGCAATTCTTGGAGATACTACGGTCTCGTCGCCTCGCATTGGAAGGAGCACCAGTGGGGTTCTGGCAAATGCTGCAAGCAGCGCGTGTAAAGTATGGGCACAGCTCCACGTCTCAACGTATTATGGGCTATGACCAACAGTCATTCCCTTTGCCGGAAGTCAACAGCATGCCATATACACAGAACCCGCTATCGTGGTACCAGAGAACGATGCAAGAGACAACGCCGTCGAAACCTGTTGACCAATATCAGAAACTCCATAAGCAGATGGCCCATTATTTGCACGCTGGGAAGCTGAAGGAAGCATTGAGGTGTTTTCAAAATGCTAAAAATGCCCGGTTCCAGATGAGGCAGCTTCACGTTGAATTGGCGGTCATAGCGACTTTGCTTGAGGACGGTCTCAGTGCAGCGCGCACTCTCATCGAGACTGAATGGCGGAGTATCCGTCACCTTGTCCGCTTCACTCCTATCTTCTTCCGTCAAGTCATGGCGGTCGATGAGGATGCAACTGGCCACATTGTCCAGATGGCAGTCCTGCGCTTCTACCAGCTTTGTTGGTCTACGAAAAACATGAAGGTCAAGCACCACCTTACCGTTGCGACAAGCCGTCGCTTGATCTCCCAACATAAGCCGGAAATGGCTCTGGAGCTTCTGACGGCCGTGTACATGTCCCGCTATAGGTTTGCAGCGACCTTTGACGGGGTTTGCATGAAGATGTTTGCGCGCGCCTTCGCCGCGACAGACAACATTCTAGGCTTACGATGGTGTATTCTTACTGCTTTATCACGCGATAGTGCACTCAATCGTGATTTTGTGGTGGAAGTTCGCCGAATCTTGGGCACTCTAAGTCCACCTTCGGCGGTGGATGCCACCGCCGGCCCCGTCACCCATGAGCAGCTGGAATACCTTCATTATATCGCCGATCTGCTCGAGGAGAAGAATGAGGGGTGCTCCCCGATATGGGAACTCAAGCATGACGCCACACTGAAGCAGTCTTCGAGGCAACAGTTGAAGCAACCTCTCGACGCAAGACGTCTTTTCAACCAGTCCGATGTCCGCGAGACCGTCAAGCGATGGGACGAAGAATACGAGTTGGAGGCAGTGCTGGGTAGGATTGACAATGACCCGAACTCGATTGCTGCTCGATGGAACGAGAGTCGTCGTTCACATCAGAAGAGTGCGGGTTTATGACGATCGGTCTGATACCATCTAGGAAGTGGTTGCAACTGCAACCCCTGGCTGAGCCTTTATTGGATCATGCGATAGGCTCCTTAGCCACTGTATATATACTATTGACACTCTGTACTTTACTCTATTGTGCGGTTTATTACTGCCATTACTACTCATCGGAAATAGAATAGAGATGATGAGGTTGGATGCAAATATCACGGATATGGCCGAAACCTCTTGCTCCTTTTGCAGGCAACAACGCCGAACGGTATCCAATAATAATCATTGTAATTGATCGGATCCGATCAGACCAGACGATGCTCTTTTCCGGTCCTTTCATTGATCATACGGTGTTCCTGGATTTCTCTCACCAATAAGAATCTAGCACAGCGGAAAGAGGAAAGCCAGTCTTTCACATGTCACGCCACTGCCCACTCTTGGCCCCTTTCCAATAAAAACACTTAAGGTAAGTAAGTCTCCGATCTTTTTCTATCTCCGCCATCCCATCCTCTTAATCAATTGCTTACCCTGCCACTGACTCGCTGTCGCTCAGAGGAGGGGGAAAAAATATGCACCGTGCTTCTCACCAATTCCCTCGATTCCTTCGATTTTGCTGACCGAATTCCCTCCGCACAATGGCTACCACTCCGATCAACGGCCATGCCACCAAGTCTCCCTCCTTAGATGCGGCCGAAGCCCGCCGACTCAAACACAACCATGCCGATGTCGTGATTATAGGTGCAGGAATTCTGGGCTGCGCGCTGGCAGTCGCATTAGGACGACAGGGGCGGAGTGTCATTCTCCTGGAAGCCTCGCTGAAAGAGCCAGATCGCATTGTGGGTGAATTGTTACAGCCTGGCGGTGTACAAGCTTTGGAGAAGCTTGGTCTCCGCGATTGTCTGGAGGGCATAGACTCGATTCCCGTGGAGGGCTATTATGTTTCGTATTTCAAAGACCCCGTGACAATCCCCTACCCGAAGCCTACGCCCACGTCGCCCCCGCCGGAGGGCCGCTGCTTTCACCACGGCCGGTTTGTGATGAAGCTGCGCGAGGCCGCCATGGCATGCCCCAACGTCAGTGTTGTTGAGACCAAGGCGACGGACCTGGTCACTTGCTCGCACACCCAGCAGGTTCTCGGTGTCGAGTGCACGTCCAAGGATAACGTCCGGGCCTGCTACTTTGGCCACCTCACCGTCGTTGCTGACGGCTACGCCTCCAAATTCCGCAAGCAACATCACCCGCATACCCCCAAGGTCCGCTCGAGGTTCTGGGGTCTCGAGCTGATCGATACGAAGCTCCCGAAGCCTTACTATGGGCATGTTTTGCTGAGCGATAATGCCCCGATCCTCCTGTACCAGATCGGCACGCACGAGACCCGCATCCTCGTTGACATTCCCGAAAACCTCCCATCAGCGTCCGTCAAGAATGGTGGTGTGAAGAGCCACATGCGGAACGTCGTCCTCCCTTCACTTCCTGAATCCGTACATCCAGCCTTCATTGCCGCCTTGGAACAAGGCCAGCTGCGGTCGATGCCGAACTCCTTCCTCCCCGCCGCCGCGAACAGAACTCCGGGCCTGGTGATCCTCGGGGATGCCCTCAACATGCGACACCCATTGACAGGAGGCGGAATGACGGTCGCCTTCAATGATGTCGTGACGCTGCGCGATCTCCTGAGCCCAGAGAAGGTCCCCAATCTGGGCGACACAAAGCGAGTCATGAAGCAGCTCTCGACCTTCCACTGGGAGAGGAAGAAGTCGGCCTCCGTCATCAACATCCTCGCACAGGCGCTATATGCTCTATTCGCCGCAAATGGTGCGTTCATCTCCTCCCTCACTCACTCATCCCTGAACTGAATCACAACTGACCTCTCACCAACAGACCAATACCTCCGAGCCCTCCAACGCGGCTGCTTCCGTTACTTCCAACTGGGACTCATCGACGGCCCCGCAGGCCTCCTCGGCGGCCTCATTAAAAAACCCTCCGTCCTCTTCGTCCATTTCTTCTCCGTCGCCCTCCTCTCCCTCTGGGTCCTCCTCTGCGAATACCCTCCCTACCTCTTCCCCGTCGCCGTCTTCAAATGCATCATGACCTTCTGGACGGCCTGCGTCGTCATCTTCCCATACATGCTAATTGAAGCCTTCTGCTGAGCAACACGTTTGGTATCATGATTAGTAGACGCTAGCGGGACTCTGTATTTCGGCACACCCGCGCTTCCATCTCCCTTCTTATCCATGTTTTCCTCTTATGTTAATATGTATTTCTAATTCTGTTCGGATTCGTCTATATTATGTAATTACTTATTTACCTTATGTCCTCATACTCCCTTCTTGTGCTTTGACTCTCCGTCAATCCCCTTTCAAGCTTGCGTGTTCTGCTACTTCTAACGAAGATATCCTCTAGAGGCTATTGTTACGCTCTGTATGGACGTCATTGATGTATATACGTTTCGTGTATACAATTCGGGAAAAGAAGAGCTATAGAACCAGGATCCCTGGCCGATCAACCTTCATTGATCTGCGTTTCTATACAATTTCCAAATTTCCACATTTATTCATTGTCCATCCTGACTGGCATAATATCTAACACACCCACACAAACGCAAATTCTTTCCGAGACAAGAAACACAAACGGAAAAAGTGTACACTGACCCACTCGCCTGGCTCCCTGCTATGATGGTATAGACGATCATGATGATGATAATGCCGATTGGAAAGCAACCATGAAAACCAAGCCGACCACGGTTTAAACAGGCAAAACAGAATGAAATGGGGAAAAAAAAACAAGGTAACCAGACTCTTCACTGGCTCTGTGTATCGGACAAGCTCATTCAATCCACTGTATGAATGTTTTTGTTGGTCGTAATATTTGCTGTATGTCCCCTGCTCTCTTTTTGGTAAACGTAAATAGAAACAGAAGACGATGAAAGGAAAATGCATAGCCCGCATGCAAGGTGGACGGACACTGAACCACAGAGACAACTAAAAAGGCGCAAATGACAATCCGAAGGAGATATGGTCAACTCCAAGGGACATGGCCAAGGTTAGAAACGTCAACATGTCGAAGAATCAAATGCAACAAACAGACGCAGATGTCGTATGCAATTATGCAAATCCCGCAAGCAATCCACGGACAGACTTCAAGACTGCCAAAAGCCGCAGTCTGACCTTGTAAACGCCGACAAGGAACGGGGAAATGGAAGACGAGCGCAAACTCAGGAAAAGAGGAAGACGAAGCAATATACCTTCCAGGTCAATTGAGCTGGAACAGTCCGCAAAAATCAAGACAACGTCGAGGATACCGCCTCTTTTATACAGAAATGATAGCTCTCCCCAAAAGGCAAATTCAAGCAGCGATTTCCCTTTAATCGACGAGCCAAACGGGAACTCCTTCATAGGTGATGGACAGGTGCTGGATGGTGACGTAAACGCTCGGTGACGGGTCAATTTGAGATGGTCCGCAGAAGGACGCCCGCGGTCCAGGTTGACTCAAAGGCCTGGGTTCATAACACCAGAGTGGATAGAGGCTGAGGAACTTTGAAGCAAAAGCGGGAGATCATCTTGCCTTGCTCATCCGCCTTTCCTCAACGACTCGTCCGCAGGTAGAGGCTCAGCACCCGCATGGAAGCCAGATCGGGGCTCCATTGGCTTGGCATTCTTTTTCTGCTTTTTCTTGGTTGTCTGCCATCCATTGCTTCCATGATTGCTAGTTGAATCAAGAGTCGACGCATTGATACCGTTGGGCTTGCGAGGCGCATGGGCAATGTGCCGTTCCCTGCTATCCGCCGGCCCAGCAGAGATGTTGTGTGGACCGTCATGACGGTTCTTAGGCTTCGTCTTGTGGGTAACGGCGTTCGATTTGTCAGACGAATCCGCATTATTCGAGCGACGTTTGCCAACCGCTGGCGGCCCATTTGGATCCGCTGCCGGCGACGGTCCCGACGGAGGCAGTCCTTTTTCTAGGCCATATTGCTTGGAGCGGGAGCCATCCTGATCCGATATCTCATGACGCGGCTGAACGCCTTTGAACCTTTCTGGGCTAGACCTGGGTGAGGTGTCGGTGACATTTTCTCCATTGGAAACATGGAGATTTTGCAACCTGCTTGAGAGTAGACCAGGCTTCCCGTGGTGCCCATTGACCCAGACGTCCGTTGCATTTCCTGACTTGGAAGCATCAATCGTCTGCCTGGTAAAGTACGCTGATTGATCGATCTCGACTGAGCTATTGTCCTGGTAGTCCTGGGAAAGCGAGTCGGAGATGCTGGCGGGGGTGTCCGTGTTGCGATCGTCAGACGCAGAAGTACAGTGGCTCATAGTGGCGTACTGATCATAACTCTCTCCAGAAACCGAAGTGCGCTGTTCACTCAAAGGGACGGAGCCATCGACTATCAGAGGGCCGTTCCGGTCGTGAGAGGCCACTGGTCGAGGAGTGGCTCTCTGATATGATGACGCGGGTTTGGCAGAGGGCGCAACACTGCTCTCAGGGGGGGAGCCAAAGGTCTCATTGGTAGGTATCGTGGACATGTATTCCTGCGGGGCTCCAACAAACGGCAGAATGCTGCCATTCTGGAGTGCCAGACCTACCGGGGCTGGCAAGGGCGATAGCATGGCATTCTGATGATACATTTGCAATTGCGGAGAAGTTGCCAAATAGTACCCCATGTACTCAGACGGTCGGTTTTCATCCAGATACGGTGTACGGGACACGTTAGGGAGACTGCTGGGCATAAAGGAATTCTCGTCCTCGGTCTGATTCCCTTCCGGGGGAGATACAGAATTGTTGCGCTGTTTTGGGAGATGGGAATTGTCGACAGGCTGAGAGACGGAATACAGCGGAGCAAAGCTCGGGAGAACCGGGGAGTTCGCAGGTCGTGCCGGCTGTGAGTGTGCCCTGAGTGATCGACCAGGAGAGCTATTTGCTATGGACTGGCGACGCGGTGTACGTCGGAGCTCGGGAAGAGCAGATGCGGCAGAGGGCGACGGGGGATTCGTGCTACTCCCCTGTACGGGAGTGACAGCGACCGGAAGATAGGTGGAATTGTTGTACGCGTGCGGACGCAAACTCGCGCTGAGAGGCGGATGAGTCCCGGACCTAGACCGAGACCCATCATCTACACTCGATTCAGGCTGCGGCTGTTGCTGCTGAGGAATGGGAAACTGTATGAACGGCTGGCGGATGAGTACTGGAGGGGGCCTCCCTGTGAGCAGCGCCTGGTTTTGCAATTGCAATCGCAATTCCTGCTCTTGTGCTTGCAGGATTTGGATTTGCTGGTACAGGTGATCGTGCAACAGGTACTGTGCGTGCTGCGCCTGTAGAGATAGTTCCGTGGCACTCATGCTGGGATTCAGCTGGCGGAAACCGTTGGGCTTGTTCGGTGTATTCGATGAACGGCGGCCTCCGGAATGGCCACCGCGTGTGTAGTGATTCGAATGGCGCCCTCCACGACCTCCACGGCCGCCCCGGGAAGGTTGCGGCGGAGCCGTCAACGTAGGTCGTGGTTGAGGAGGCGGTCGCTCCCATGATCGCTCTTCCTCAGGCGGGTATTCATACTGCTCACAGCAATCCTCGAGGTTGCCCTCGGACACTGCCTTGAAAGCCCTACGCAACTCCATGTGGACGCCTCGAAATGACGTGTCATCCGCTGTATTGCCCAGATTCCTCGACGTGTTGAATGGCTCTTCGACGCAGAGACGATTGTTCTGAAGAAGGTGCCACCCCTTCTCCTCTTTCGATATCAACTTGCCTTCCCGCACGGATATCACGTACTTCTCATAGTCGAGCTCATGGCCATAATACCGGAAGAATTGGAAGAGCAGCTCCCCGAGCGTCTGCTTATTTTTTCGCCCATACCCCACGAGGGAACTAAGATCATCGTCGAACGAGCAAACTAGGCCGTCTGTTGTCACTCGTTTCTTGTGAGGTCGTGCCTGGAGACTCGGGAGCACGGGAGGTTCCCGTGTTTGCAGGAAATTGATGATCAGGCAGATCCAGGTATAGGAACTTAATGTGCCTCCAAGCCCTACAGCAGAATTGTTACAACGGAGTGTCACGGGGATACCTGCTCAGAACGGGGCAAAACTTACCTGCATCGTTAAGGATCCTCCGTTTTGTCCAGTATTTGATGATCATGGCCAAAGGCCGAACACGCTCGTCGATTTCGACATACGTTCGCACCATACGCGTATTTTCCAACGCCAAAGTGTTGTTGACATTCATATCACACGCAAGACGTAGCTCCGGATCCCAGATCTTCACGATTGGGACTTTCGCATGTGAAACACAAACAACCCTTTCCATTCCATCTGCGGGCATTGTCAGTGAACGGTGGCAACGAACATCAGCCTAAGACACCTTACGCTTTGCGAGAACTTCAGCGAGCAGACACACGTGTTCCAGCTCTTTATATGTCGTCGTTATACATATATCCACTGCTACAAGTCAGCCTTCAAGAATTTCAGACTCTGCACCATGACCACTCACCGTCTGAATCGCTTGAGCAGAGCTTATTCCCCGACGACCCGAAGACATGAACCTTAATATCATGACCTGGCCACTGATCATTGAAGAGTTTCTCCAACTTTCGAACCAGCTGACGCCGCCGGTCGTCGCTCTCCGCTGACGGTAATAAACGATCGTATACCTCCAACATATCCTTAGTCAGTCTCTTCTCCTCCTCTGCTTCAAGCCGCTCTTTGAGACCTTCTTTTTCCTCCGGTAACAGATCAGCACCTATTGTATAAGGCATCCTCCGTCGGAAAAAGGCCATTGCTGTTTCATATTTGCAACCTGCGAACGGCTTCCGTAACGACGGAGGAAAGTGTATTGACTCGGAATGGGTCGAGCGTGGCGACGTGCTTCCGTGAGGGGGGGAAGGCGTCCTCGAGTGGAATGAAAGATTGCGCGTATGTTGATATGGGGTGGAAGGAAGGGAATTCGACTGTTGTGAGGCTAGGGGAGGACGAGAAGTTGCCTCTGTAGAGGTATCGGTGGACAAGTTCCACGGCATGGTGGAAGGCTTTCCCAACGCTATCGGAGACTTTCCACCTGTGGTCGAGGAGAACTTAGCATTCTCATAGGTATCTGAGATCATATAGATACTACTCCAACGTCGTCGAGCAACGTTGGCTCCAAAAGATGATTTGAGGGGGCC